CTTTAGCAGGGTCTGTGGTGATAGTAAAAGGGGAAATGGTTTCACACTTGAAGAGGAGAGATTTAGTTTGGACGTAAGGAAACAGACATATGCAGTGAGGATGATAAGACACTGGCACAGGTTGCCCAGAGATGCAGTGGATGCTCCATCCTTGGAGACGACTAAGGTCAGGCTGGACTAGGCTCTGAGCAACCTGATGTAGCTGTAGATGTCCCTGTTTGTTGCAGGGGAGTTGGACTAGATGACTCTTAAAGGTTCCTTCTAACTCAAAGGGTTCTATGATTCTATAGTGAATAATAGGTAGCATCCACCTGCAGAATCTGTTCTTGCTCCTTGTAAACTCTCCTAAAAAACTATGGGAGATCTGAAAGAGTGCTAAAGAGTGATGGATCTGTTTAACATTTAGGCTTCATGTTCAACTACAGGCACAAGATGCTGCCATCTGTATTTTAGTTACTTGGGCCACATTTTCAAATAACAAATATGGGCAAAAGCTAGTGCATATTAAATGTATATCTGACTTTGCAAAGGAGTGACCACCTTGGTGGAGTAAGTTGACATGGCTAATAGCAAGTACGAGCACTAGTGAAAGAATGATGCCTGTAAAAATAAATGGAATAACTCTACAGTTTGAACTACTGTGTTTTGGTGCTTGGCTTCACGGAGTCCATTCTCTCGTGTGGCTCTCACAGAGAAATCTAGTGGTAGCAATTGAAGCCAGGCCTATTCTTCAAAGTTCTGCTGGCATAACTCCATGTGTTTTGAGGAGAGGAAGGAATTACATCCCCAATAATCCTGGAACTGCCAGCAAAAGTCCTGCTGTTAGTACTGTTCATTGTGTTTGAGTAGATTGTACAAACATCATTGAAACAGCTTCTTTCTCAGTGCAAACAGCATATCCATCTGGAAGGCTTGCTTTCTTAGCTTAGCATTTTTTTGTTTGCCAATAAGGACTGTACTGTGGTGTTAGACAGGAGCATATAAGCATCTTCGAAGAACAGTTTAAGAACAATTGTGGGCCACACAACAAAAAGCACTACTGCAGTCATTTTATTTCTATGTGCAAACAGGGTTTCTCCCAGAAGAAAGGCTAGAAGTGATGCCAAGAGATAGCATACTAACCCAAAGCAGTAATAAGAGAGATAATTCTGAGCTAGCACAATCTGCATAACTAAATCTCTTCATAACTTCATGCATGTTATATATATATGTATATATACCAAAGGAATTTTTATTTTTTTCCTTCCTTCCATCCTTCCATCCTTCTTCCTTCCCTCCTTCCCCCCTCCCTCCCTTCCTTCCTCCTCTCTCCCTCCCCCTCTCCTTTCTCTCTCTCTTTCTCTTTTTCTTTTTTTCTCCGTATCTCTCCTTCTTTCTCATTCTCATGAGAATACTTCCAGCTGTTTCTATTATGGAAGCCATTTTAAAAAGGTCATTTATTTAGGTGAAAAACACAGTTAAGTCTGTTCTATGAAGATGCTTGTCCAATTTATTCTTGATGCCATTTATCTTCAGAGTTCCCTGAAGTGACTGCAGTTCCTATTGAGGAAAATATTCTCTGAGTCTCTGATTTGTTTTTCTTTTTAGACCCACCATTCTGTGAATGAAATTTGGGCTATTCAGCTAGTTAACCATCTGTTATCCTCTCAAATTAGTTTCTTAAAATGTCTAGGTACAATCCCAGAAATGGGAATGATCATTTAAAATTCTGCTCCACAAAATCTTACTTCTTGGCAACCATTTGATGTTATTATTGAAGGAAGTTGGAATAGAAGTCCAGGCAATCTTTTCAGTTTATTGGAATATCATTTACTGTGCTACACAGATGTCCACATATTGCCCATCTGTCAAGGCTTACATTTACATAACCAAAGAAACTTCAGTGTAGGTTCCTTTCTTAGTCTCTATCAGTCATTCTGTTTTGGTGCCATTGGTGTCTGTTTCTTTTTATTATCTGGCTGATCATCAGAAATAACAAAAATTCAATCTGAATATTTTCTGCAGGGGATCCTCAGGCTTCTTTTTTATTCTCCTTAACATTTTGGTAGTTTTGCTTTTCTCCCTTGCTGTCTCAAAACAGAGGCTCTTTTTCTTTATTTACCATTTTGGTGACAGAGCAGACATAGAACAGAAGAGGGAAGCCAGATAATGTATTTCAGGAGAAGGGCAAATGTCAGCTACTGCTTCCCTTTCTCATGCAATTGGAATCATCTGCATGATCTTGTCTGAATGCCACCATACTTTTGGATTAGAGAACTCCGTTATTTTTTTTCTTTCTCCTGACTTGAAAGATATACTATACTTGGAAGTTTTCCATAGGTTTCACTTAGAAACCAATTTTATCAAGTTCTCTAAGCATTAAAACCTCCGTAGCTCCTTTCCCCATCATTAGTTCCTGAATGCCAGGACTTGTAACCCAGGACCAGATTTGGCCAACAGCTTTTTGGTCTTTCAGAATTATTCCGATGACTCACCCCAAAGCAACGTTTGAGCCCTTCTGGGATGATCCTGAAGCAGGGCTCAGATTAGACAGCCTTCATCTCTCAGGATGCTATTTGAGAATGATGATTTATACCAAGGATAAAATCGAAGGACACCCAAACTGAACTTGCTGGTATTTCTGTCACTAAAATATACTTCAGAAAAACATAATTTGAACACACATGATCTTTGAGGTACCTTCCAATTCTAGTAATTCTATGTTTCTATGTGCCTGATCTAGTAAGTGGCAACCCTGCCCACAACAGGAGGGCAGGAACTAGTTGATCTTGAAGGTCTCTTCCAATCCAGCCTGTTCTATGGTTCTGTTGTTCTGTGATTTAAGTGTTAGGAGCAGGATGCACACAGGCTGGCAGGGCTGGGTGACAAGGTTGGGCTGAGGCCTGGCCATGGATAGGATCTACCCTTGGCCTGGAGGTTCATAGCCAGGCATGGCACAGCCGTGACATAGATCCTGGGGAGGAGCTTGGGGCCAGTGAAGGATTATTGGCTGAGGAAACCTACTGTCAATTTCATGTCTTGTTTCACTTAATGGATTTATACAAAATTAAGAACAGGTATTAGGATATTATTGATGTAAGGGCCTAGCTGAAAGGTTAGTGGACCCAGCTGGGCTGGTCAAGCAGCCAAGGTAAGACTAGAGGACATTCCATGAGCAGCTCAAATGATGAGATAAAATGTTTTTATGATAGCATTAGCAGGACAGTGTTACGCTGTTACCTGCTTTTCCCTTCCAAACATGAGTTTGCCACACTATTGTAAGGAACAGTTTTGCTTCTGAGACCACTCACTATTCAGCATTCTCACCTGGATTTATCTTTCCTGTCAGACACCAGCTATAATTAAGTTTGCAGACTTATGTGAAAATCTTCACAGGAGTCAAAAAGGTTTCACTTCATACTTTTGTGTTGGAACATGCAGTGTTCTACCACTGATTAGCTGATCTTCCCATGGAGTTCTCTGACAAAGACAAGGACTGTTATCGAAGCACTAATTAACAGGAGGAGTGACATGAAGCTTGCCAGCACCCATGGAGCCAAGACTGACACCAGTGCTGAGTTGAGGGGCTTCTCCAACAGTCCCCGTCTACTTCCCGGCTTCCCCACTCCAATAATAATGCTTTTCTTGCTGTGAAGACTTTGATCCCTTCCAAGAAAAACACTTTAGCCTAGAGCTAGGTACTAAGACTTTTAGGCAGACTGATAAAGAGGTGCAGAGTAGGAAACTCGTGTGGTAGACACAGTGTTTTCCTGCTTGAAAAAGCCAAGACATGGGGTCTCTTTCAGTGGGTCTGTATGTGCTGACCTATTATTTGGCATGCAGACAGGAAAAATGGGGTTTTGGTCTGGGTGAGAACTACTGGATACCTGCTCTGTAAAGAGGTGAATAACAAAGACTATGTATTAAAAAGACATGGCAGATCACAGAGAGAGGAATGTATGTAGATCACTGCAAATGTAATGCCTCCTGCTTATTTCCTTGGAAACTACAACAGATACAAGGAGCACAATAATATTATTTGATAGAGCAAATTCTCAGCTGCAAAACCCTATTTTTCAACATAATCACCACCATTATCTACTCATTTTTACCAGTGAATAAGAAAAGCCTGCATGCCACACTTGTAAAAATCTGCACTAGCAGAGGAGGCCAACTGTTGCTGTGCTGAAAAGCACCACCCACCTCCTCACTGTGCGCATAGCCACTGTTTGGTCTCCATCAATGTTCAGCGTCAGTGGATGTCAGAGGGTATCATTTTTTTATGCATGGAGGAATTCATTGATACACCCTGGCTTCATCCACACTTCCGTGTCAGATGCCATATGGACAGACTGCCCCTCTGCTACTATCTGTCACACAACAACAACATGTAATAGAATATTGGTGAGAACATTTGACCTCTATTGCCATGCCATGAACATCTACCTCTGACATCACTGACCAACACTGTAAAATAGGAGGCACTACAATCAGAGCAGCCCTTGTAAATCTTGGATGAATACCTGTGTTTGCTCAATTCAAACTTTGGTTTACATATATTTAATATTTTCCTTTTTTATTTTCCTTTTTTTTTTTTTACCTGCTAACTTCAAAGATCAGGATGCTCATTTCTCTGCTGTGACATTTAATGACGTCACTGTCACCTAAGACAGAACACAAAGGGTTCTTTTTTCTCTTTTCCTATTTTTTTATGGTTCATTGAAACTAAATTAGGTAAACACATCTGTCTATCTGTTAGAGCTCACATACATTACAGAAAGACTTGAAAAAAAAAAGCTGATTGAGGTGACAAGTGACCTCAAGGCAGGCATGCCAGGAGAGCTGATGGCTGTGGTCATTCAGGGCTATGTGAGGCAGGGACAAGGGCTGACAGCTTGCTCTGGGCAAGCTCCTATTTGGGTGGGTTTCCATTCTGCCTATTCTAAGCAGGATTCTGGCTTTATCCAGAGTCCTCAGAGGTCACAGATATCTGCTTGCTGATGGTCTCTGCTTTCTTCTAGGTCAACGTGATTTTGATTTAGCTGATGCTCTCGATCACCCAGGTAGGTGTCCTTATTTTGCTATAGTATTTAAATCTAGTAATAAATTTTAAGTGCTTTCTATTTTTCTTGAGAACTGGAACATGAAGAGGGTAGCACTCCAATTAAAAGTATGAAGGGTAGGGAAATGTCAGATTTTTAATTTACATACAACTGAAAACTGCTGCTTTTTCTGTTTTGTTTTGTTTTTAAAACATAACTTTTTTGACATAAAATCATTTTTTTCTCTTTAAAACAAATAACCCCCCAAAAAACAACAACAACAACAAAAAAGGTTTTGGAAACATATCCTTCTTAGTTTCTGCCATGATGCATAAAGATTTACTAAATACAGCTCTCTTAATTTGCACAAACTTTCTTTTGATAAGTTGAACAATGTCAAGAGTTTATTATTGTATTTTTTTGTATATATCATTGGGTCACACAGATGATATAATTACCAGGAAGCCCACAGTGATCAGAAGACCAACAAGACCTCTGATGAGTGAGTAATAAAGACAACAGTCATGACTGATATCCATTATACATAAGCTTTCTTATATGAGATTATTGCTTGTATTTGTTAATGTGCCATTCCTAAGACAATTTGTGTGAATTTGTGTCCTCCCTATGTAAAGAAAGTATTTTTTGGACAACCAGCAATTGCATGTCTTTACTATTTTCAGTAAGTCTTTAGAGCATGGCTGGCCACAGATGGCATTTTATTTCCAGATGGTCATCTTAATACTTTTCTAACCTGTATTGACATCTCTGGAGACTATAAAAATGGATAAACGTAGCTAAAAATTGATAACTCTGCTTCTTCTTTTTCTTTTTCTTTTTCTTTTTCTTTTTCTTTTTCTTTTTCTTTTTCTTTTTCTTTTTCTTTTCCTTTTCCTTTTTCTTTTTCTTTTTCTTTTTTTTCTTTTTTTTTTTTTTTTTTGCATTATCTCTTCTTTTAGCGTAAGTGTTCATGATGTTTGATAACAGACTGAAATATTATCTAGTTTTGATTGCTATAATGACCTAAGTCAGAAAGAAAAAAAAACTGGGAAGAGCAGAGGTGACTGAAAGGTTTCAGCTGTATTTTTGAGTATTACCAATGATAAGTTTCAATGAATGGCTGTTACTGTTGAAAAAAAACAAACTCCAAACAACAACAAAACCACATGCATATTTATGACAACATTTTATAACAACACAGATATTTTTCACCTAAATTACACCAAAGGAAATTGCGTTAATCAGGAGATGCTGGATCACATTAGCCCACAGAACAACTTTATACCTTTTACTAGATAAATATTACAGAAAGATTTTTAGGGTTACATGTTCCATGTGATACTGGTTCACTCTGTACAAGCAGGGCAGTGTTTTGTGAATGTGGTAGCTACTAGATCCTGTGCATTCTTCCTTCTCTCTTGCTTTTGTGAAGAGAATCTGTGTTTGACCTAGATTAGAAGCACCTATTGCAAAGTACAGAGAAGCCACTGCTCTCTACTTCCTTTAAAGTCAGTGGGGAGTAATCAGCATATCTAACAACAGTTCGTGTAATCCTAAATGTGGATCAGTTCTCATCCTAATATAGACATTTAAAGTAGGTTACTTGAATCATGCCCTCAGAGACTCTGTCCTTAGTCATGCTAGGAGGCCAAGTCAGAAATCAATAGTTACAGTGACACTACCTCAGTCAAGTGAGAGGAATTGAGTTTCTTAGACTTCTGTTAGACATGTAACAGTGGGAGAGCTGCCCTACCTGAATCAACTTTGCTAATTCTTGGGAATGAAGAACTCGATGTCTCCCAGAGTGTATTTTGGAATCTCTCCCAGCACTAGCAAGGATTGCAGGCAGTTTAAAATCGATTAGAACAAATTTTTAGAAAGTTCTGAAATAAGTTGCTGGTTTGGAAATGTTCAGAGAAATAATATAAAAGTGTGTCCTAACATGTACCTGATGTTTCATATTAACCTCGATGCTTCTTCTATGTCTCATTTAGCCAGTGACACCGAGAAACATGTCTCGCTGAGATGATGATATTGGTAGAGTAGGGTCCAATTACTGTATAGGCCCTGTCCTCCAGGCATCACTTCCCACACAAGAATCCCTGTCTAAGTTGAAGTTGCCCTGCAGGTATCTTTCAGTGGAAGGGAAAGATGAAATTTATTTTTGAAATCTCTAAATAAGTAGGTTTTAGCCACTCATACTCATCCTACATTCTTATCTCTAAACTGGAGAGAGATGGATTTAAGGGCTGGACTATTTGTTTTTTACTGAGAGGGTGATGAGTTGCTAGCACAGAAGCTGTGGTGCTTCTCACCATCCCTGGAGGTGCTCAAGGCCAGGTTGGACGGGGCCCTGGGCAGCCTGAGCTGGTGGGGGGACAGCCCTGACCATGGCAGGAGGTTGGAACTAAAGGATCTTTAAGGTCCCTTCTAACCTAAGCCATTCTATCATTCTGTGGTTCCATGATCTAATTGTTGTACACTCAAACCCACACACTCAGGTGCTCTGAGATTTTTGTGTTCAAGTTGCCTGGTGAGCATCACGTACAACCAGGATAAGGTACATCAGCTCCTAGCCCCTATCATGCCTCTGTGGTTCTTCTTGATAAGAAATGACAAGTTAGTTTTTGAACAGATTCATACCTTCATACCTTTCACAAGTCAACAGCTATTATTGTAAGGTCCTCATAAACTTGCTTACTGAAGCCTCTCTGGACCTTAAACCAGCATGCTGCCCACTGTCTGTTTTTACTTGTTTGGGATACATATACTATGTTTTTAGTCTGTTTTCTGGATGAACTAGCAGGAAAATAATGGTATAGGTGATATGCTGCAACCTTTGTGTTTAGAGTGCCCTTCTGCTTTTCTTCTGCTGACCTGTGCTGCTGCCTTATCAGAGTGCAGGCTTGCTGTTTTTGACAGAAACAGCACATTCCTCAATTTTACAGCTGGGAATGGTGACCTTTGCCATCTGTTCTTTTAACCCTTTGTTCAGCTGTTTCTTCATGTGCTTACAGACACTTTTCTATTCATATTTAATTCATACTAACCTCAACATCTCTGTAGCAAATCTCTGCATGAAGCCTCCAGGGCAGAACCCTGCATTTTACCCGAATTCTTAGTTTTGATAAGAGATTGTTGCTTCTTAAGGTACTAGTCTTTGACATGGAAAGGTATTTTTGCAGTGCAGCTCTGTTCTAGCTAGACAGGATTAACACCTAGTTTGACAAAACATACCTACTCATGCAGTATGAATATGATTATGTTCCTGTCAGATTTCCTGGAGACATCAAAGCATTTCTGAGTATTCATATTTACATATGATGAGAATAGATACTGTGCAAAAAACAGCTTCCTGTTCTCTTTGGATGGAAAGAACACATGAAAGCAGACATGATTGTGATGTCTTATGAAGAAATATAACATATGTTTGAATGTCTATCTAATTTTCTTTGGCAATTAAGATTGTTATTATCTAGGTACATTTTGCTTTTTCTTCAGATTCATGCTCTATTTCCATATTTATTAGAAGCAAGAAAGTGATCTCTGGATTTAATAGCATCTGTCTAATATACTTCTGCATATGAATCAGTGACCTTTGAGAACTTACCGTTGTTCCACACACCCTAAAATATCACCTACATACTCTTTCCACACCTGAAAGATGTGCATCTTATACAGCTCACTGGCAAATTGTTTATTTAATGGAAAGTTCCATTTCAGCTACTGCAAGGCACATGCACAATCTCAGGGAATGGTAACAGGCAGCTGATTCACTACATAATGTGCCTGTGCAGAGTTTGAAGCACATTTTAATACCTTTATGGCTCCGCCAAAGATAAACGGATCATCACTCAAAGAGAGGCACATATGATTACTTGAAGCACAATTTTTTTCTATCACCATGACCCTTACATAAATTAGTTAATTCAATTGTGTCTCCTAACTAGTTTTATTACTTTCCAAGATTTGTTTACATGTAACAGTTTGACCTACAGACATAGAAGTTAATAAGTATAAACAAATCAAACAAATAAATAGATGCACCTTAATATTCTAACATAACTAATTTCGCTTACATAACCTGCACATATATGAAAGATGTGCAGACTTTGCTTCTAATATAAAATTTATTCTGAAGGAATGCAACCTTTGTAATCGAAGCGGAAAGTATGATATAAATTGTTAATTCTTTTGTGGGCAAATATTAAATTTTATAAGTTCTTTTTTTGTTTTGTTCTGTTTTTGAGAAAAGTGGAATATCTTACTTGAATTTGTGGGTATTATCTGAAAAAAATGTTGCTTGTCAACCATTGTTTTACATTTTCTGCAAATAACTAGTGTTTCACTTCCCTCAAGAGGTCTGCCCTGATTACTTATCTAAGTCTTCTTCCTTTTTGTTTGTTAGACAATGATCTGCATTTAGGAGACGCACTTGGTGGGGGTGAGTACTTTCTTCTTTTCTCAGATATGTTGTGGTTAAGTGAGTTTGGGGTTTTTTTTAGTTCTCCTTTTTGAAGTCTTTCTTGGCCAAAAAGATTTCAAGACTGCAACATAATCTGTAGTAAAGGAAGCCATACCCATGTGCCAGAGGCCACAATGCAGAGTAGGGGCACCAGGATGGGCCGTGTCTGGCTGCCAGCTACAGGGATTTGCATGCTGGCCTATTTGTATGAACTGAAGTCTGCTGTGGTTAACAATGCCACATTGCAGTACCAGAGCCATGGCTGGGAACTGCACACATTGCCCAGTCAGCCATCATGGTTCATAGATACAGCCTCTAGCAGAAGGCTGAAGACAACAGATAACACCAGCAGTTCGTTCAGCTATCATAAATTAATCTGCCAAAGATTAGGAATCAGAGGTAACAGCAAACAGAGATGAGTGTTTTAGCTCTGCTGGCCACGAATCAGAAATGCAGGAAAGAATGGTTCAGAGATGAGCACTGATGGATATGATACAGTTTAGGTTTCAGGCAGACAAGATACTGTAACCTGCTGTAACTTCCACTTATTTCTATAACATACAAACCTCATCTAGGATGTATTTATAGCATGTGCTGAGCTGTGTAAATGCATGACATCCAAGATGCTGGAAAATTTTGCACCTCATTTTACTTAGTATGTTTGGAGCTATACCTGGAATATGAAGTACTCTAGAAGGGTTCTTGCATGCTGTAATAATCTACAGTCTGAGTAGCATTGAATCAAGACACAAAATTCCATTCATACTTGAATCAAGGTTACAGAAAATAAAAACAAAAAGAAGTGCAGTGCAGTGGTCTGGTTTATTCATGTTTCAGATGCAGAGAATCATACTTACATTGTTTATCATGCTTATATTGTTCAGGTTCTCCTCTAACATTTCATACCTGTGCTGAATGACATTCATCCACACTTTGTAAAGCTGGATATAGTTTTGTTGATAAGTCCCATATTTCTGCTGTCATTTCTTCCTGCTCATACTGATTGTTCCATTCTTGAAAATTTTTACTGAATATGCTGATGAGAGGATGGTTATAACATGTTGATTAAATTATTAACAAATTACTTAAGTATCTTCTGGAAAAACCATTTCATTGGTTAGCACATGATGTTTCTTTTGACCTTTATTTCTTTGGTCAATTTTCGGTTCATGTTTTTAATTGAAATTGATACGTTTTAATGGAATTAATGTATATACCTCATTATCTTCTCAGCATCTGTGATGCAGAATACATCTTGTTGTGTTTAATGAACACAGTTGCAGCATGGTAATGGGGATGAACAATGACACTGGTAGTTCTCCACTTTTGTGTGGAGTCTTAGTTTAGAACACATGGTCCTGGAACAGAGCAAGTCTCTTTTTCTATTAGGTAGAATTAATTGGGCAAAGTCTGATTCAGCAAAGCTTTAAGAGCGTATCTAAAATCCATTGAATGCAGTGGAATAAATTCATTCTTAAAGCTGAGCATATCTCTAAATAATTTGCTGAATCAGAACTTTAAAACAGCTTACAAATAGAAGTGTTATGTTTAGCATGTAGGCAAGAAGAGGCCATAATGAAAGAGCATCTGACATGAACTGGAGGTGAAAGAAAGATTTAAGGAGAGAGAAGGAAGATGCCATTTATTTCAGTAGCCTGACTTTGATTTATTCAGAGCTAAATTTGCTACCTGACTATGTGAGCAGTTAAATATGCTACTGACCTGGTTGGGGACAACATGAGGAGGCCTGCACTATGAAGTAAGAACAGCCATAGCTATTTTTCCTCAGTCAGTCCGTTACTCCATCACTGTGTGTGCAATTAGGAAACTGCTACTTGTGATCACGTATCTTTCTCTACCCAGTTCCTCTCTTCCCAGTACTCTTGTGGAAATTAGACAAAATGCCAGCTCAAAGTCAAAAGGAAAAATGCTGAAATCTGAGTACATTTTGCACTGTTTAAAAGTATAAAATTCATCATGCCTGAGATGAATTCAGTATGTGTTCAGTGAAAGTACTGTCCGGTTCATAATAATACCTGCTGAGGGTACAGAGATAATCTCTTGCCTCCTGACCAGCCCAGAACACTTTCAGATCAGTGTCACTGCACCACTGACACCTGCAGTAGCATACTGTTCTTTCCAGCTGTCAGAATAAGGTAATATGAGCATGTGCCAGAATTACAAGAAACATTTCCCTTGGACATTTTTTGAGCTCTTCTTTCATTTCAGTTTTGAAAAATTTCCATTTTTTAATTATCTTCAGTACCTTGTAATTCATTGACATATTGCTTGAAACTTTTTAACCTACTGACAAGTTTATTTTCTGAATTCATCAGGGAACAGATGAGCAATATGCATAGATTTTCAGGTTATCATACTGTTTATTTACAGCTCCCTGTTCTGTTTCTCCAACCATCTAACTATTTATTGTCAATAGGTGACATCCCAAGACAACCATTATACCCACCTCTTCCACCACGACCAGGAAGCCACAGTAATGCTGGTAAGAATATTTTCTCCATAGAAAATCTAGCACTAGGAACTGTTCAGAAAAGATATGTTGAACTCTTTACTCCCTTATTTATTTATGATTTTTATAATTTTTATCATACCTTCCTGCCTTTTTTTTCCCTTCCCTTCCCTTCCCTTCCCTTCCCTTCCCTTCCCTTCCCTTCCCTTCCCTTCCCTTCCCTTCCCTTCCCTTTTTTCCCTCACTATTCCTGAACCAGCGTTTGGAAAGATTTTCTGAGCTTTTGTTGTGGCACCATAAAGCTTTTCTGCCTCTCCAAAACAGGGGACATTGACTTCTAAGCGGCATGAGACTAATATTTATCTTGTTTCTCCTTTCATTTTGGTTATGTATACATGGAACCATGCTAAGGTTCAAATTTGACATCTACCTCCATGAAATGTATGCACATTTCTATGTACAAATCCATACTGAGATGGCTCTAGGGTATACAACAGGTGGGACAGGAGAGATGGATTTACAATTGCTTTTGACTGTTGTCCCAGACACCCACTTAAATACAGTGGAGGTGATACATCTATCCTAGCTATCGCCACCTATATCATATTTACTTCTGGTATGACTGTAGTGATGCTCTGTGGATATGCCCTTCTGGAGTCTTTCCTAGAAGGGACCTACTGACTTCCCACTACAAGAGCTGCTGGGATTTGTGATGTCCTTATTACATTAGGATACGTTCTACTGAAGCTTCCACTAGTACATACTTCTGCAAATAGAACTGGGTCAGTTAATGAGTGGGGCTTTTGCATATTGTGTTTAGGAGCCTAAAGTGGCTCCAAGATTTGGATCCTAAATACAGAACAAATTTAACATATTTTCAAACATACGTGTCTTCATGCTCAGAATGCGTAGACAGCAACAGTCTTAGTACTTCAGCTTCCAGTGAATGTAAATGGGTGACTACTTCTGTAAGACAGCTGCTGTATGGGAACTGGGATTTCAAAGGTCCCTCACCTTTCCCCAGAACTGTTACAAAAAAGTCAGAGAAGAAAAGTGAAGATATTACCACTGTTCAGATAATTTTGCAACAGAAATCCTAATTTTTATCTTGCAGGAGGATTTAATGATTTTGATCTTGTTGATGGGAAGCCTTTACCACCACACATACCAGGTAGTATTTGACAATTCTCATTGCATTTTCTCTCTAATATTTATAAATCAGAGCTCACTGGTTTTGCTTAAGCACAAATGTTTCTTACTGAATTTGTAGAACAAGACTGCTATTTTTATTTAGACTAGTCATCTTTCTCCATGGCTTTTAGCACAAAGCTTTAGTTCCCTTGAAACATATCCCTAAATGCCTTGCAAGGTTAAGCCAGAGCCTTGCAGGATTCATTCCTTCAAATTCTGTTTGGACAGTTTCAAAGCAAGGGGCTTCTACTGAGAACTGAAAGTAGACACTCCAAGTCTGTGATCTTGACATAAATCATCTTATTGTCCAGAAGTAGAGGATAACAAGAGTAGAGTTGGCCTCCTATTTCCTTTAAATCTGATATAGACAGCTAAGGATTATCTTTTTGTTTATATTCTTCAGACAATATTCTTCTACAAAACTGAAACTGATGCTAGTCAGGATTAGAATCAGAGCTTCTCTGTCACAGAATCCCACTCTAGCTGCCCCATTTCACATTGTAGGAAATGCAGAATACTTTGTTCTCAAAATATGATGAAAGACAATTTTTGATGAAACTTCATCCTCTATTCCAGGCGAAGAAGGGCATAATTTCAATCATGGTGGAAACACGGGTATAGTAAATATTTTATTCTATAATTTGTTTCAGATCACCATAAACAGTGAAAAAATGTTAGCCTTATAAAAGTAGTACATATATTAAATGATGCTGTATGACACTGTTTTTGCTGAGAGTACCATAATTACCAGTCTTCTGCTTAATTCCACTTAATGGATTTCCGATGTTTCACCATATGATTTTCAAAGTTTTGCAAAAAACACCTATTTGTAGGTAATATGCCTTAGTCATACTATTTCACTGCGTCTGAAAAAAATCTCTCTTGTTTTCTACAGATTCAGGATTAATAGCTGGAGTTACATCTCCTATAATTTCTGCTTTTGTGATATTAGTTGTTGGATCTATTGCGGCCTACACAGCTTACAAGAACAACAAGCTTTGTTTCAAACCACGTGGTAAGACAGAGTTAGTCAATTTCTGTGTTGAATTAGATGGGAATTAAAAAAAAAAAAAAAAAAAAATCTGTGGGAAAGAAATAAGCTAATTATGGCCAAACATTCTCTAGTCTGTATGTCATCTTGGGAATTCTCAGTCAAGTATAGGAAACCATGATGCACCCAAAGGACAGATATACACCACTTCCTGAAAGGAATTGAGTAATGCGAAGTCTTTGCACCCATGGAGGTGACTGACTGTTATGGCTCTGAGCCCGCAGATCAGCTTGAATCACCTGGATCAGCTTCATGTAGGGCTTCTCCATATACCCTCTGTTCAGGGTTCCAATTTCAGCTCATTGCTTCATGTCCTGGCCTTGTCTACCTCTCTAGTGTGCCTGCTGTGCCTGCCCAGCCATGGTTCTGGATGGCTGTTTGGATTTCTTGACTTGGTCTTAGGCCTGGCTGGTTGCCTTGCATTTACCTGAAAGTCAGTGGGTTGTCCACAGGACCCTTTTGCCATCATCACCTTGCTCTGGCTTGCCTACTGCTAGTGTGGTGGGGTGGCACCGTGCTGGTTAGACTCTGGTCCAGGCTGCCCTGTGAACATCCTTGGTAGCAGCCCCAGTCTTGCAGCTTCCTGATGCTTAGCTGTCATACAGAAATTTAAGCTTCTGATTTTTGTTATTTATTCTATTATAGGACTAACAACCAGTACATTTATCATGTATTAAAACATTCACTGGATTGTAAAGACACTAATGAAATGCAGAATGTGTATGGAAAATTCTCCGTGCACATGGAAAAGTTTGCTAGGCTGAGTGCTGCTGGTGATGCCACAGGAAACTCCACAGGGGCCAAGTGTTCTCTGGACAGTACTACACAGGGGATACCCATCTGCATCCAAGAGGGATGTTCTCAGGCTACAGCATGGCCAGGGGATGCACTGTGGGAGGTTATTTGTGCCCCAAGGGATTTGACAGTCACTTTTTTTCCTGTGTCTATAGCTAAGGTGTAACAAAAGCATCATGTCAGGAGATGCAGTCTGTGACCCACCTGCCCTCTGAAAAGAGGAGGGAGATAGAGGCCCATAGTTCTGTACTGGTATGAGGTTCCTACCTCATGCCTCAAAGGGACTGGAGAAGAATGAGCACAGAAAGCAGCTGATGTAGAAGCACTGGCAAAGGATGTAGATAGCACAAATGATTCATGTTCAATCTTCCTTCTTTTAGGTGGGGCCACAGTGTAAACTGCTGAAATGAAAATGTCCTCTGATGACACACTCCTTTGGTTGGTGATGTTCTGTCCACAGATCTGACATTTTTTTCAACTTCATAAGTCTGAGCAAAAAATCTTCCTCTAATGAATGTTTTGTAGAGGCACTGCAATTCCATTTTCTTTTACATGATGTTACTCTTAAACCTTGAGATTTACATCATCAAAGATGTACTTAAAATGTCCAGGATAAGTATTGCACTATCTGATGTGTATTCATGAATGTTGGATAAGTATTTTTAATTCAGGAGCTATTTTAAATGCAGAATTCCAGCTTAAAATGAGCTAAAAATTAAAATATTTTGGTTTATCAGTGGTTTTTTTTTTTTTTTGCTAGCTTTTTTGGTTTATGAGTGAAGAATTTTTTTTCCTGTTTTCTAAGTTGTCTCAAAATAATTAATCATTCTGATAGGACTGAAATAAGAAAAATGCCATTTCCACTTCCATTCACACATTTTGCATATTTCTGTATTGTCTGTGGTATTTAAGAAAAAACTGAAGTTGTGTAAATGATTAAGCATTTTAATGCCTTTACTTTGTATCTTATGTCTGAATTCTTGCAAAGAGCTATAGAGGGAAAATACATCCTTAATTTTAAAATACAACATAAAAAGAACACGTGCACCGATGAACCACTGATTAAAATAAATAAAACGAGGAGAGCACAAGTTAATTTTATTTATTTATTTATTACTGAAATGAGATATGGCTCTTCTCAGGAACTGGAATCTGTTGTAAATTATGTTTTCCTTCTTGAAAAATTAGAAGCCTCCAAAGGCAATCTGATATATATATACATATATTTTTTTTCTTTTTATTTTAAGAAATGTGTTCTTCATAATTACTTTGAAGGAAAACTAGGTGCAGAGGTTTTGGAATCAGTTAGAAACAATATCTGTGACATTTTGTCCTATGAATCTATGCTACCAACTTTTAAATTTTGTACATATCTTTTAGCAGAGGTATAGTTGAGTTTTGCTAGCAAGGCTGCTTCATCTTCTTCTCTTGCTCCTCATCAATCTTGCTGTGTTAACAATGTTTGTAGGCAGACAAAAATTATCATCAAAACCTAACACTTCTCCAGTTTCTCTGTCTTCAGGGAGTGAAACGCAGGTGAGAAGCTGGAAAACTAGTGGTTTAGTGGCATAATTCTATCATATAGTTATTTTAGCTAACTTACAAGCATAGAGGAAATACATGAAGAATGTATTTTCTTACAAATTTGCATGCAGATGGACGTAAAAACAATTCTGTGTTTGTTGAATTTTGAGAGAAAGACATCGTGTGGACAGGTACACTCTTCTCAGGTACAGTTATAAAAGAAAATACTGTTCTATCTCCGTGATATTGACATGGATATTTCAGAGATCTTTATTTTGATCCTGTATGTAAGAAATTATAATGTACATCAGCTCAAACATGGAAACACCTTGACAACACGCAAAGATAACAAGCAGCTTTGTGGCTACCACTTTCAACTTATCATTGATAATATATTTTAGTAGAGTTTTCCAGGACACATGCTTTTTCTTTAAGAATACAAACTTCTCATGTTAATATTTATGGAAGTTACTATATGTTTTGTCAGGTAGATGTTAAAGCTTTTTGTGGTTACCACCTCCATTGCTTGTTTAACAATAAAAATATGCACGCTCCTTCTTTCTCTTGAAAATTTTCAATAAACACATACTCTGTTTTACCTAAAATGAAATGAAGTTTGCTTGTTTTGTGAGTTATTTTATGGAACGTATGCTGGCTGGCTGGTACCTTTAATGTCTAAGCTGATGTGGGAGCTACTATTAGAGGAAAGAAAAAAAAAAAGGGAAACATCTTATGTATCTCTTTTTCAGGACCAGTGTTCAAGAAGGATTTACGTGCAGTTTTAAAAGCATACAGATTTTTTCTTTTAAAATGCTATAACAAATTTTTTAAATTTGTTCTCAGTTTTTCCTAAGCAATTTCTTACTCAGTTGAAATAGTTTCTGTTATTATTATAAGTGAAAAGACAGATTTTTTTTAAATGGAGAATTTGAACTTGCATTAGTGAGAACTCCCACCAAGTGTTTAACATTCTCAGGTTCTTCATCTAATGACATCAACACACCAGTGTGCAGGCACCGCTTTCAGTGCTAATTTTGCTTCTAACTAGCATAACTGAGCATTTATATAGGGAATATATTTAAGTCTGAAGGGAAAGGAAGGAAAACAAACTAGCTGCTAGACCATCAGAGCTCTGGATCACAGAATGACAGAATTGTAGGGGTTGGAAGGGACCCCTGGGGACCATGGAGTGCAAACCCCCAGGCTGCACAGGAAGGCATCCAGGTGGGTCCTGAATATCTCCAGTGAAGGAGAATCCACAACCTCTCTGGGCAGCCCGTTCCAGCGCTCTGTCACCTTCACTGTAAAGAAGTTCTTTTGCATGTTAGTTCTTCTGTTCGAGTTTTAGGCCGCCGCTAGAAACCACTCAGAAGAGACTGGCCTCTCACTGTCCCCAGTCTCCCTTCAGCTTTCTGGCTCATGGCCAACTTGTTATCCACCACGGCCTGGCCGAGGTGAGAGGAAGGCCAGGCTGCGGGCAACGACGAGAGAGCGTCGCGTCGCGTCGCATCTCATCGCGCCGCCGGGCGGCGCCATAGCGCTACAGCCACGCGTGGGGGGCAGCCGGAGGCCCAGGTGTGCGGCAGGTGCGGGGCACCGCGGCAGGGGCCGGGCTGCGCCCTCCTCGGGGCCGAGAAGGGAGCGATTCCCCCGCGTGAAAACCGGGGAGGGTCGCGTCGCGCCAACCCTGCCGCTAATGCCGGTTTTCCGCCCCTGCGCACAGGAGTCCCCGCGAGCGTAATTCACCTCCCACTGTCTTCAGCGGGAACGAGGCTAATCCCATTTGGTGATTTAGCAGCCCGGGGGAGCAGGCGAGGCGGGCGGCAGAGCTCGGTCCCCGCCCCGCTCGGCAGGCGCTCCGCGGCCGCACGATGTCCGGTGAGTAGCGGTGAGGCGCTCGCTGCGCCCGCTCCCCCCCTGCGCCCCGCGGCACCGCACGGCGGTCCGGACCCGACGGGCTCCTCGTACGGCTCGTCCCGACGGCGGAGCGCGATGCCGGCGGCGGGCCTCGCTGCGATTAGTGGCCCCGGATTAGGGTTGGAGCCATCTGGCTGGTGGGAGGAAAGGGCCCGAGGGGTGGGCGCCTGCTGCCGGCCCGCGTGCTGCTTAGCCGGGCTGGGCCCGCCTGGGGCTTCCCGAGGGGCGGACAGAGGGGGAGTCTGCTGCAAGGTTGTTTTAAAAGTTGTTATGTGAGGAGAGCGGGGAAACTGGAGGTGTCTAACAGGACGAGCTATGAGGTCCTCTTCCTTGTCCCGCCGACTGCTGTGTTCCTAGTTCCAGTGTTCCTTCTTTTCTCAAAACGGGGTGTTACTCTTTTCACGTTACTCCTTTGCGGATCATAGTATTGTTACATATAATACTATAATAACAAGAGATTGCTTAATGTCTCCTGAGTAACAGGATTGCAGGGTATTGACGCAGGATGTAACTGTTCCTAACTGGATGATATTTAATAACGGCTGATAGAGAAGTCCTTGCTGTAGCCTGTCCCCATGAGTCCTGATCCTGCCTGGTGACATTCAGTGCTGCTTTAGTAATGGGTGGTAGAGAACCTGTGTTTGGATCGGACAGAACTTCATTAGACCATGAGAAACACTGCATGATGTCAAACATTGATTTGTATTCTCTGTGGAGGCGTTGGCAGTGCCAGCATAAAACTCATTGTCAGTGTAAATGTTTCCTCTCTTGGACCCAGACCAGGGAAGCGTGGGAATTAATGCTGCCAGCTCATTTGATTACTATGGGGAGAACTGCCTATTTGCTGAAAATCTGCATAACAATTTCTGATGGTGGCTTAGTGTAGCTGTTTTCATCGTTACTTGTTCTGCTTACTTGTAACAAAATCCATCCTGCTTCTGCAGTTCTGGGTGCAACTGGAGCAGAGCTCCCTGTTCCACATCCCTCTAGTGATTAATGCTAAGTCAGAGGTCAGGAGACTTGTGACCAACAAGAACGTGGCCAGCAGGTCGGGGGAGGTGATTCTCCACCTCTACCTGGCCCTGGTGAGACTGCATCTGCAAAACTGTGCCCAGTTCTGGGCTGCTCAGTTCAAGAAAGACAGGGCTCTTCTAGAGAGTCCAGCAGAGGGCTGCTAAGATTACTAGGGCCCTGGAGCTTCTCCTGCATGAGCAGCGGGGCTGTTCAGCCTGGAGAAGAGATGGCTGAGAGGTGTTCCTATCAACACCGATAAATATAAATACTTGTATAAATATAAGTGCAGGAGTCAAATAGATGGGGCCAGGCTTTTCTTCACTGGCATGCAGTAATAAAACAAGGGGCAGTGGGCACAAACTGGAATGTAGGAAGTTTCCTGCAAACATGAAGAAAACTTATTTACTGTGAGGGTGACAGTGCCCTGGAACAGGCTGCCCAGAGAGGTTGTAGAATCTCCTCTGGAGAGATGTGAGATCCACCTGGACACTTTCTCATGCAGGCTACTGTAAGGAACCTACTTTAGCAGGTGCTTAGACTTGATCTTTTGAAGATCTTTCCATCCCATATGGTTCTGTGATTTACTTTATCATTGCAGCAGCTTAATGCACCTTCACAAAAAAGTACCCTTTGGGGGAGATATTTAGTGACCTGATGTAAGAAGGGCACTAGCAGAGAGGTGAGCTGGGCACAGCAGGCCTGGCCCAGGCTATAGTGTGCCTTCTCTACAGAGATGGCAGCTGCAACAGAAGGGGAAAGTAAGATGAGAACAGCAGATAGTATCAATGAGGAATGTGGGAAAACATTGAGCCAGTGTTAGTTTGCAAGGCAGAGCACTCTGGGAACATAATCAGCCTATGTTTAGCTATTTTACGTGCTCTTCTTTTTAAGATGGCATTGTGTTATTTAGAGTAGCTTTGTAGGAAAACTGTAGTATATGAG